CGATAATTGCTTCAACACTTCACAACTGGAAACCGCCATCGTTGATTTGCGTTCTTCTCACAGCCGCTGAATATTCATTTTGCAGACAAATATTAGAAAGTGATATCGTAAAAAGCTCAGGATATTCATTTCCCGTGTTCGCCTTTAAGGCTTTATATCAGCTTGTTTCAAAAGGTTTCTGTCAAATGCCCTAATGGATATTAGACAGTACGGCGCAGGTTGTAGAGGGATATCTTTTTAGAATTCTTTAGCCAGACGTCAGCTTTTTCTTGCATTGAGTATAACATTAGAGACTTTTTCAACGAATAGAAGCTTTAAAGTAACAATTTTTCTGGATACAAAATCATTGTTCAATAGCAACTCTCAGCTATGGAAGATTAATCGTCGGCTTAGCTAAAACTTAGAAATAGTTTTTTTGCTATGTGCAATACGCGAAAAGATCGTCTGACCGTTTTCAAGCAATCAATCAGCTCCCGAAGCGAGTTGATAAGAGAAAATGAGGAAGATAAATATTTCAAACTCTTTCTGATCTTACATATATCATTTTCGCTAAGTATGGCTTTACTCAAGCTCTACTCGCTCCGGCATAACGCTCTGTCACAAGTAGAGTGCATTGACAGACTTGGACGTTAAATATTAATTGAAGTGCTCACCTTTAAAAATTTTGCTGCTTTAAGGCTTAGAAAACATCACTGGTACACTGTTTTGCCGAAATAAGGTTGTTAGCGTGTTTGTATGAAATATTGTTGATTGATGTTACTTAATGTAGTCAAATCTAGCTTTCACACTTAAGATATTCTGCCGAAGTTTAAATTTCCAGTTTAAAGTGTTTTTTAAGGATTGAGTCCCGCAACAACGATGAGCGTCGCTGAACAACTTTACACGCAAGGATACATTTCCTATCCAAGAACGGAAACTACCGCCTATCCAACGAATTTTGACCTCAAAGGAGTTCTTCAGCAGCAAACTAATAATTCCAAGTGGGGAGATGTTGTGAAAAGAGTGAGATTGTTTTTTAGCGTCTAGTAATGTTACCTTGCTAAGCCCTGTATTCAGGTTTTGAACGAAGGCATACGGAAACCTCGTGGTGGTGATGACAAGGGAGATCATCCTCCGATTACGCCCATGAAGCCTAACAATGGGCAGCTTTCCGGAGGTGAACAAATCGCATTATATTGTACCATACCTAAACTTGGCAGAATTGTTCTAAAGATCATGCTTCTCATCCTAAAAATCATTTAATGTTTACAAAAGAATACTTACTGGTTACACATATCATGCCTTCACAGCCTCCTATAGGGATATAATACTTTCACTTAAGATGGGTGCCTGTGATTCTAATGTTTCAGTATTTAAAGAAGGAAATGCATTTCTGTTGGAGCAGCTTTACACATACTAGCTAGCATGCCTGACTCCTTCATTTTCTCAAACATTTTAGCTTTTTTTTTCTTAATTGAGTTCCTGAACATCTTTGGGAGTTTCTGTCAAGAGTCTCCCTTTGTCTAACCAAATCGTTTGATTCGAGTGGAGTAAGCAAAAAGTAACTTATTACTTGTTTTTTATTATTGTTGTTTTTTATTATTTATTTTTTCATTTGTTTGTATTTTTAATCTTTGCAATCAACATGCACAACATGTGCAATCATTCCAAAACAATCGTTGAACGACTATCAGAGTCATCAACAACATGTCCACTTTTCCCTGTACACTAACAGACAGATCATACAGCGACATTGCTAAATCAATAATCGTAAAAATCTATGTCTTTTGGATAGTCTCACAGTAATAATCAGCATACCGCGTCTGCAGCTTATATTGTTGATGGAAATTCTTCTGGATGTTTAGCATATTCCTAATCAACATGGTGACAAATACGTACAATGTTTCAAGCAGCGAAGAGTCCGAAAAATTTAATAATCAATGTTTCAATCGATATCACTCGATAAAGTGGTCTATCATAGTCGTCCTCTGTCGAAATGTACGCTTGTATAGGAGCAGACGAGGAGGGGGGAAAAATTATAGTAGATTCAAATATTTCAAGGCATCCTCGCTTCCGTCCTTCCTTCGTTTTGGTTGAAGAGAATTGAGAGCAGGCCATACACGCTTAGTCTCCACCGACTACATAACATCTTGGCTTTTACGCGGCGTATTCAGAGAAGATAAAGGCCGTCACAGTACCTTAAGACCATTTTTCAGTCAATTTTCATGAAAATATCGCTCTGAAATGTCAAAAAAGTCTTAAATCTAATTAAGAGTGTTGTTGCCATGCCATGAGGTAAAATCTTACGAGACTTTTTTGATTCACTAATAAAGCGGCATGAAAACATCGCTGTCTACTAATATCTCTAACCATCGGTTGAAGTAACATGGTTAAACTTTTATTTTATTTTGCTCACTTAATGTTAATCTTCCTGAAATCCTTATTTTGGGATAACAATGTTCATCATTTCTGATTAACTCACTGAATTAAGAATCACAGTTGAAAATGTAGCTTATTCTCTCCTTGAGCATAAAGGATGGGAAGATTGCAATAGATGATTGAATTCCTTTCTTCTCTTTCTTTGCTATCTCCAACTAGTTTCCATCTTTGTAATAACATAATTTTTAGACATGGCTCGAATTTATGACTATGTTGTGCAACACTTTGTCGCAACATTAATGGGTCCGTGCATTTTCGATGTGACCACAATCACGTATGCCTTTATCTATGAAATCCCTTCCACACCTTATGCAACACAACTTCAATGTGTTGCAGGATCACATCCGCTGATGAGACGTTTACTTTAACGGGTAAAATTGTAAAGGATCCAGGTTTTACTGAAGTAATGACGTGGTTAAATGTAGAGGACGATCAGAAACTGCCTATTTTGGCTCGCGGTGACGAGCTCATATTGAAGTGGGTCACGTACTTTTTTTTAGAAGTTTGGAGAATATCTCGTTAAGCTGGTATTTGTATTAGGGAAGCAAGTCTTGTTTCTCGCGAAACATCACCACCTGGTTATCTCACTGAATCTGAGCTGATCTCTCTGATGGAAAAGCATGGAATTGGCACTGATGCGTCTATACCAGTTCATATCAATACAATTTGCCAAAGGAACTACGTAACGGCTAGTTTAGAAAATTAATATTATTTTGGAATTTGTTTAAAATATAGCCTGTTCCTGCAGGTGGAAAGCGGTCGCCGTCTGGTGCCCACTCGTCTAGGGATCTCACTTGTGCACGGGTACTGGAGAGTAGATCATGAACTCGTACTGCCCACTATGAGAGCTGAAGTGGAAACACAGTTAAATCTTATAGCCCAAGGAAAAGCGGACTATCATGATGTAATTATTATTTAATTTGTCTCTCTCTTTGAGACTGACTTAATCTGTGTTCAATTTTATAAGATCGCGAACAAATTATTCAACCAAGTAATGAACAGATACTTTCAAAATCACCAAGATACGAGCCTACAGAGCTATGTATCTGAAGGTGCACAGCGCTTTCTTAAATGTCACAATAGCATTGTTACCAGCACACTGGTTCAAAGAAGAAATCAAAATTTCTTCGAATAAGATTTGATAGTTTGTCATGTAGTCAGATTGCAGTCAGTCCGTTGCAGGTAAGGGATCATGCACTTGAAATGTTCCGCATGAAATTCGTCTACTACGTGAAGAACATCGCACAAGTTGACACTTTGTTTGAAGGTAAGAATTACAGTCATCGACAAGCTAATTTCATGTTTTGCCCTTTTTAAGAATTTTTTCCCATTATTGCCTCATAGCGCTAATTCGAATCTGCCTCTCTATCACTCCTGAGGTTTTCTTTCCAATGGAAAAGCCTAACATTTGTTTTTTTTTTCTTACAGTAATCTTGTTTCGAAATTTTGCTGCTCTTATAACAAATGCCTACGATCAATTTCTATGCTGGATTTTAGTGAAGGTGAACTATTTCTCAAATTTAGCTTCTTTCACCTCTCTCGCTGATTCCGGGAAGCCATTCTCGCGATGTGGCAAGTGTAGAAGGTATATGAAGCTAGTACCAACAAAACCTCAACGCCTATTCTGCCCCACTTGCCAAGTAGGAAAAGCCAGCTGATTTAACTCTATATAATCACAATCTGTCCAGTCCATTCTTAATCTGTCGCTACTAATAGGAAACATACTCTGTGCCAAACTTCAAGGATGGAGTTCTTCGTCCATACGGAGAGAAGAAATGCCCACTCGATGATTTCGAGCTGGTTTATTGGAACGTATGTCTCCGCGATGGTTAATTTTTTGTCGGAATGATCTTTATGTACATAGGTTTAGGGCTCTGGAGGGAAACTTGCAAGGAGCTTTGCTCTTTGCCCCTTCTGCTACAACAATCC